ACTAAATGATATAATTAATAAAATCAAATATAACATAATATAAATGATAAATATGATAAATAAGAATAAAATAAACACAAAAAATAAAATAAATACAAGAATACAAAAACAAATATATTCAAATAAAAAATAAAATAATATAAAAAAGAAAAGAAAAGAAGAAAAAGATAATATATAATCAAATATAAATGTTATATGATTAATATATAATTGTAATATATAATAAATAATAATTTCATATGATATAGATAGAAGATATAAAAATTAAATAAATAATAATAAATAATAAAGAAATAATAAGAGAAAAGAAATGATATAATAATATGGAAAATGTATAAAAGAAAAGATAAATAAAATCAATATAATATAAATAAAATAAGAATAAATATAAAAAGAAAATTGATATAAAATATAAAAATATAATCAAAATGAAAATAAGATAAAGAAATATATTAATATATAATAAATTATATATAAATAGAAATATATTAATATATAAAATAAAATATAAATAATAAGAATATAAAACTAATAAAATATGATAAATATAAAATATATAGATAAAATGATGATATATATAATATAATATAAGAATAAAAGTAAATATAAATATATAATAATAAAATACATGAATAAAATAATAATAACATAATAATAAAAATGTATAATTACATTGAATCAAATATCATTTCTGAATCATTTATAATTCAGAACAATTTACCATAAAATGAAATAAAATATAAATGAATATAAATGAATATAGAATGTGTATTTAATTTACTTTTTTATTTTTTATTTTTTTTAGGAGCAAAATAATAAAAACTATTATTTTATTGATGTAAAATATTTTGCCCGAAAACAGAATATTCCATTATGCAAAAAATATATTACACTATTTTCATTTGAGCAATTTATTTAGATGCATAATTTCTTCGCTTATTTTGTTTCACCAATATAATACAATGATGATAATGAATTAAATTATTTTAATGATAGTCACATTGATAAAACAATTTTCTTATTTTCTTTTTCTATATTCATTATCATTGTTACTCTTTTTTTAACATTTCTCATCATTTATATTTCTCATTAATTGCATATTTATTATATTCATTATAATTAACATAACAATATTCATAATTAATACGGGATAAATGAAATATAATTAATTATATCAACATTATATAATTGATTTAAATAATTGATAAGTTCTCATATTCTTTAATGGCTATACTTAAAATTATATTCACTAATTGATTATTTATTTGATAATTAATATATTATATGATTTATAAAAGATAATGTTGAATATCAAAATCTACATTAATCATATGATATTGTTAATATAGACAAATATTCTTTATTTAATTTCTCTATAATGTATTTAATCACTTTTAATTCTATATATATATTAATTCATATTCTTTTGATTTATATTTCTTTATAGTATTTTTATTTATTATTTTACAAAAAATATTTACATTAAATTTATTTTATGTATTGCTTCTGTGATATTTGAAATTTTTAACAACTTCTGCAATGATTATATTTGTTAATACTACACTATTATAAATAGTTATTTTGTTTATATTTTATTATTGAAATTAGATTATTTGTTTATGAAATTTATATTTGTAATGAATAATTTCATTTAATTATTTGATTATTATTGTTATTCTATCATTTTTGATTTTAAATTATTTAATTGTCATAATTCTCAAATTATATTTATTTAATTGTTTTAATAAGAGGTAAAATAACAATATACTCTATATTTCAATTTATTATTCTTGTTATTATATTATTATTTTATTGTGTAATATATAAAATATCATTATAAATTTGTTAGAATGATGAAATATTAATTTACATTCATTTTGATGAATATTTAAATACATATTGAGTGAAGAATAAAGGTAATTATATTAAATTTATCATTATTCTCTTCATTGCATATTTATATTATTACAAAATGAATATGATAATAAATAATCTGATAAATCAATATATAGTAAAGTTTATTCAATTATCTTTCTTGAACAATGTGTATTTTTAATATTTAAAATACTCATAACACCATTTCTATTCACTCATGTTTCTTTAATTGTGATATCACAAATATTAATTGGAAACCAAAATAAGCAAAGAAATAATGAATCTAAATAAAAAATAACAAAAAGAAAAGGGCAAAATATTTTGAATAAATAAAATAATAGTTTTTATTATTTTGCTCCTAAAAAAAATAAAAAATAAAAAAGTAAATTAAATACACATTCTATAATCATTTATATTCATTTATATTTTATTTCATTTTATGGTAAATTGTTCTGAATTATAAATGATTCAGAAATGATATTTGATTCAATGTAATTATACATTTTTATTATTATGTTATTATTATGTTATTTATGTATTTTATTATTATATATTTATATATTTTATTATTATATTTATTTTTATTCTTATATTATATTATATATATCATCATTTTATCTTTATATTTTATATTTATCATATTTTATTACTTTTATATTCTTATTATTTATATTTTATTTTATATATGAATATATTTTTATTTATATATAATTTCTTATATATTCATATATTTCATTATCTTATTTTCATTTTGATTATATTTTTATATTTTATATCTTCTTTCTCTTTATATTTATTATTATTTTATTTATATTATATTGATTTTATTTATCTTTTCTTTTATATATTTTATTTATTATTATATCATTTCTTTTCTCTTATTATTTCTCTATTATTTATTATTATTTATTTAATTTTTATATCTTCTATCTATGTCATATGAAAATAATACTTATTATTTATCACCTATTACATATTATATACTAATCACATAACATTTATAATTGATTATATAATAAACACTGATAATAAATAATACATATAAATAAAAATCATAAAAAGAAAAATGATAAAATAAATTATATCAATAAAATAAAGTTAAATAATTTGTATCAATAAATTAAACGCTTTTTATTTCATATTTCTAATTTCTATAATAAAAAATACATCCATTATTTCATCATTCTTTTCATCATTTATTATCTTATTTTGAATTATTCATTTTTATTTTCTTTCATTTTATAATCTCAACATTCTACTTTTATTCTTTTCATCTTCTTCCTAATTTCACTTTTTTCTTTCATATCATTCTTTCTCTAATTTCTCTTCTTTTTTTTTTCGTGCCCGTCATAAATTTTCTTCTCCATTTATTTAGCAGTTAAGCCATTATCTTAAATTTTTTTTAAACACACCACCTATTTTTTATAACTGTTTTATTTACTCTTTCTAATCAATTGATTATTATACAGTTTTTTGTTCTTTATCCAAAATTCATTATTTTTATTATTTAATTAATTTATACTTTTTAGATTCGAAAGTAGCACGTCAGAGACACCACACAGAATACTAAAATATTTCCATCCTTCGATTCCACCAGTTATGGACTGGTTATAGTGTTGTATTTGGTTAGAAAAACATCTTAATCAATACTACAAGAATAGCAGTGTTTATTAATTACAATGATAGATATCATTGACACTAAAAGAATGGGTATTTATAAAGATGTTATTATTACTTGTTAGAATACAAGTACATTTGATAATATAAGATTATCAAAGGAAAAGGGTCTAGTGGCTGATACTAAAAAGAATATTAACTCATAGTAATACAGTAGTAATTATATATTCTCCTTAAAATAAGAAAATAAAGAATAATTTTAATATTCATCAAAATTAAAAAGAAATTAAATAATAAACATTTAAATAAGGGATGTTTAAAATATTCTATTCCACATCAAAAACGAGAAAATGAAATTATCATAATTCAACAACTAAAATCAAAGAACACGCCAACAGTTGATAAATAAACACTTTTAAAACAAATGGACGAGATTAGTTAATCTCCGCTGAGCAAGGAACAATATAAAATATTTCTATTTATACTTAATTAACTACTTTTTATTTATTATTTAAGGTTTGTTAATCAGAACTTTTCTTATTTATTAACTCTGAACTATTATTTTGTATTTGCTTTATTTCTCCTATTTTTATTTAATTTTCAGTTTTTCTATATTGTCTATATTCTCTCTGGTATTTACTTTTTTTGTCAGTATTTTTTTAATATGAATTGATCTATTTGTATTTGATGATATTCAAAAGAGAATAACAAAGAGAAAAATAAAAAATTATATTTTAAACAGTTTATTATGTAGCAACAAATTTGAATTTGAATTGGCTAAGAATAAAGATTATTTAAATAAGGGTCATTGAAAACTATTGAATATTTATTTCATTGATGCATATCACAACTAAGCAATTTAACTATTAACTGACTTATTAAAATGATGTTGATTGTTAAAGGAATAGATAAGAAATAAACTAAATGGAATTGCTAAATGAGTAGCAATACACCAGAGTGTTAAATAACAAATGATGATCAAATTATAGTATATTTGTAATGTCATCACCAGCGAATTTTCGTTAACATACTAAGTCAAATAATCTTGTTATAAAAATAAATAATTAATAGTAATAACAAACATAACAAAATATAAAAGAGATTGAAACATAATAAATTAAATATTAATTGATCATAAAGAAATATCAAATGATGTTATTTTAATCAATTCTATCAATTAAATATTCATTAAATTTTATAATGTTGATATCTTTCATACTTGTAATGAAGATAATGAAATGGTAGATGATGTAATAATATTTGATAATTGTTTATGGCGTTAATGAAATAAAATAATTTCTTTTTATTTAATTATTTTATGTTATTATTTATTTGTTGACATACTTTAAATAATAAAATTAAAAATGAAATGTGTTTATTATTATGTTTCTGTGTTGATATTTTTATTTTATTTCTTTAATATTCAAAAATTCTTATTTCTTTTAAAATTATTTCTTATTCTCTTATTGTTTTATTTAATTAAATTATTCAAAAAAAAACTTACTTAATTAGCAGTCATTTTCACATGCGACTTTTGTGTAAGTAATATCTTCAACTTTACTAAATGAAGCTGATAATGGTCCACAAACTCCACATTTTCTTTGATTTTCTACATATCCAGTAGGTACTTGACATTCTTCATCAGAATAGTAGAATGTACCTTGATATCCATGAACAACAGATGTCTTTACATAGAAATCACCAGATTTATTACATGTTTTAACTTCAGTTGGTTGATTACAAACAAATTGTGAAGTGGCTGGAATTACTTCTGTACATTTGTCATCAGCAAATGTATTAACAGCAGTTTCTACACATTTGTTACTTTCAGCTGGTTTGGCTTCAAAGATGTTTAAACCCTTTAACCCTTCAATAGTATATTGAACAGCAGTAGCAGATTCTCCACCTGAAAGAGTTTTACATTCTTTATCTGAGAATGTATTGAAGAAATATTTTCCTTCATCAGCAGCAGTTTCTCCATTCTTTTGTGAAATTAATTGATAAGTAGTTAAAGTAATTCTATAACATTTATCAACTTCAAAAACTGAATATCCAGTAATTTTTTTATCTTCTCCAGTTCTCACAATACTATATTGATAAAATTCTTTAGCAGATGCAAATGCTGCAAATACAATCAATAAACAAATCATTGTACTGTTTTAAGTTCATTTTCTCCTTGTTTAAATAGTTCGTGTTAAGTTATTATTTCTTTTTCATTTCAAAAACATTTCATTTCAAGAAGTCATTTTTCATGTTATTAATTCCTCTTTCATTTATCATTTTTGTTGATTTGTATTAAAATTTAATTCGATTTCTTTCCTTTACACTCAAAAGTAATGAATATACAAAAAATAAAATGGATTAGAACTTTATGGAAGTGATATTTTTTAAAAAAAATACAAAGAATCAAAAAGAAAATGTTTTACTAATTTATTAACCAATAATATGGATATTACTTTTTATAATAAGGATATTTTCCTTCGTATTTTATTTTCAAATGAGAAAAGTGAAATCATGGTGATGGTAAATATAAACACGAGAACTCACAAAGAATACAAACATTATAATGTTCATTGCATTATTAGCACTTGCTACTTTTGCTGCTGCTGAAAATATTTATTTATGTAAGTACAGTGATGGAAAACTTAGTTCTGTTCAAGTTTATGAAAATCGTAAATGTTTTTATGCTGATGGAGATTCAGAAAAATATGAGTATGTTCCAGCTACAGCTGATAAAGAAGCATATCTTAAATACTATAAATATGATAATAATATTGAATGTTCTGCTGAAGGTGTACAACCAAAAGATATTATAATTACTAAGAAATCAGAACTTACTGTTGATGAAGAAACAACAAAAGTCTATTATTTGTATAACGAAGAACCAAATAAAATGAATGAAGAATGTAAACTTGTTGATGTTTTAAGTTATTCTGATAATAAATGTACTAAGAAAATTACCAATGAAGTTATGTATTCATGTGATGATGAAGCTCGTAATGATTGTCATTCATCAGGACTATTTTATTTAAAACCACAATACAAAGTTGGATATTATGCAGGACTTTATTATCTTGATGATAAATGTACTAAAGAAACTGGACTTGGTGCTGGAATGTTCAAATGTGGAATGTGTGTTCCAGTAGTAGAAGGACAAGAAACTATATACGCTAAATACGAATGTGAAGATGAATGTGAGAAGAAACCTAATGATGATGGATCAATTGCTACTATTGTTGCATTCATTGCTATTGCTCTTTTCTTAGTTTTTTAATTGAGTAATTCGTTTGATTTAAATTGTTTAAGAAAATATTATTCATACAACTTGTTCTTATTTGGTATTGTTTATCAAGATATCCAATATCAATCAAGTTATCAAAATGATATATAAATACATTTTGTAATTCTTGATTATTTCTTTTCAATAACATTAAAAAGATTGTATGAATATAATAGAAACAAATAATTAATTATATTTATATTTCATTATATCATTCTTTCTATTTAAAAGTGTTATGAAAAATTGATGAAGAGAGTATTTGTTTAAAATCTTTTTTTTTAAAGTGAAATAAAAATGAAAGAAAAGGATTAAACTCAATAAACATTATGTTAATACTTATTTTGAACATTTTATAATAACATCATATTTTCTACAAAAACAAATAATGTAATCAGATGATATTCCATGTAACACAACTCATTTATAAAGACTTTTATACACACATCTAACAAGAACAAAATAAAACAAGAAGTTAAGGAGCAAATAGAAGAAGTTAATTAAAAGAATATACAACATTAATTTTATTCTATTTTTTGTTAATTTATGATACACTATTGAATCTAAGAACTACAAGAAAAGTTCTAAATAATAACTCGTAATGTCTTGAATATTATATAGAATAGATCCGATAATAATAAAGATAAATTCACTTAAATGAAATCAATTATAAAAGAAATGTATTTATAAAGAAATAATTGTGTTATAATATTTTTTGAAAATGAATTCAATATCTAAGAATATTTATTGATGAAAATCATTATAATCACAACTATTATATTTTATTTCATATGACAAATTGATTTTGTTATTATTTTAAGAATACTATTAGTTTATGAATTTCATTTTTATCATCATTTCTTTATTAAAACTGCCTCTTCATTGATTAATTATAGATTATGATTTTATTTTGATTCCCTAACTGTTCTTTCTATTTGAGTTGTCAATTATTTATACTTATTTTATTTTAATATTGTTATCCGATTTTATGATTATTTAATTCATAACAATAAAACTTGTTTTATTAATACAATCATCATTTTTTTTCTCTAACATTATTATATTTAATTATAAATTTTCAAATACAATGATTTTGATACAAATAAAATTAGACAATTAAAATTAATAACATTGATTGTTGATATGGTTATTTGAGATATTAACATTTAACTGGATCAATATATTTCTTTTAATTCTCATAAAATTCAAACATCTTCTAAGTTGAATACATTTTTATAATATTATTTATTTGATAAGTAATTAAATCAAACAATTTTTAAATAAATTGGTTTTACTCTTATTAAAAGGAGAAGTCAGATAATAAAATATATCTGTTATTTCTTTTGAACATGAAAGAAATATTTAACTCATATTTAATTTTATTTACCATACTACTACCATGGTAATGCTTACTCATAACTTGTTTTTAAATAAGTTTATCATATTTTTTGATATCTGTTCATATGATTAACAAATTAATAAATTAAATAGTTTAATATTTTAAATCATTTAAAAGGTTATTTTACAACTTTTAAAGATATTAATAATGCTATTAATTTTATTTATCAGTATCAAATTTAATACTTATTACTAATGTTTCAATGGTTATAAGATATCATAAAAATTATATGTGATAAATTGTTATTGATGAATGATAAGAGTAAACATTTAGATAATATAATTTGAACATATTTATTTTCACATACTAACAATAAAATAGAATAGTTAGTTGACCAATATATTAAAATATTATAAAAATGAATTGTTTATATTATTTGCTAATTATCTTATATTTTTGTTTATTAAAAGTTAAGAAAAAAATGAATTTGAAATAAAAAACTTAAAAATAAACAACAAAAAGAATATGAACAAGAACACTAACAAATAAAACAGTTAATGATAAATTAATTAAAATAATAAACGTATTAAATGTGTTACAAAAGAAATAAGTATCAAATATATATTTGATTCAGATATTGATGATTGGAATAAGAATACATCAATATTTGAACAAATAATAATAAATAAAGAAAATATAATAATCATTATTGAAGATACAAATGGAAATAAATTTGGAGGATATGTTAATTGTAAAATTGATAAAGTTAATAATTGGATAAATGATTCAAATTCATTTTTATTTTCAATAGAATCAAAAGGGAGAATACAAGGAATGATGAAATTTGATATTAAAAACCCACAATATGCATTTTATTTATATAATCAATCAGATAGTAGTTTGTTTGAATTTAGATTTCTATTTTCTGTGGATATTCGTATTTTTAAAGAAAATAATAAAACAAAGTCATATTGTTATCAACACTCATATGAATATAAAGGAATATCAAATGCACTTTGTGGAAAACAATATCCAGAACGTTTCATACCACAACGAATTATTGTAATTGAAATGAAATGATTTTTATTCATTATTATTTATTTGAAATATAAAAATTAAAAAAGAATATAAAATAAAATCAATAAATGAGTTGAACATTTCATCTATCAATAAATAAAATGGTGAATATAAAAATATTCATATTTCATTCTTGTTTTATTTCATTTGAAATATTCACATTTATTGTGTTAATTTAATAAATAATAAAAAGAAATAAGAATAAAAGATAAATAAAAATATAATAAAATATTTATTTTATTCTTTTTTATTTATTTTTTTTTATTTATATTAT